CTCTTCTGGGTTACCAGGATGGTGGTGGTAAGGCTCAATAAATAAATGTACTGGATTGGCTGCAGGGAAAGATTTACATAATTAGTGGGCAGTGATGAAGACTTCTTATCCTAAAGACAACCTTTGGGCTCTCTCCATCAATATCTAGTAGCTTACCCTTCCTGGTTGACTTTTATTTTAAAGAACTAGAAGACAATACAGTTGGAACTGACCCAGTAGGTCCTCTCTGTATAGATGCAGTGAATGTCTTTCTATGCCATTGACAGTGAGGAATCAGCAGTGGTGAATCAAGCGCCCTTTGATCTCTCCTAACTCCACCATTGCTCTTCTTGGACCCTATCAATCTGGTTTATGATTTTTACTTCAATCGCAGAGGGGAGTGGTTGCCCCAGCTTGCCAGTCTCTAGAAGAATTGGTGGGACAAGATATTGTATGAGACGGGAAGGGACATTAGCATTTTTCCAATTGGTACAACCGAACTTGAATTTAGCATATAGACCAAGTGATAAGAGGAGCTGCCAAGTCCAGTCACTTCCAATTAGTCGGGGCCTGAGGAGGATAACTGTTACTTGAGAGAATTTAATGTGTGATTTTCCCCTTCCTTACAGATATTTGGGAAATATAAAAATAGCATTAGCATCTAGTTTTTAAAATATGATGAGTTGAAATACAGACGGGGTCTTGGTGAAAGTTGCTGTCAATTCTGATAGGCATTTATAGTTGAAATATAAGTTTGTGCTTGGGTTATTGGAGGAACTCTTGGGCATCATTAGCAAAGTCAAACGAAATGGCTCTTGCCTTTAATGTCTGGTGGGAAAACTGACATGCAAACACTTTATTACAGTAAAAATAATTGTTGCTCCAGTAGAAGATATGTATAAATCCAGGTAGTACTAACAGAGTTTTTTTTTAATTCATTTTATTTGGGGCTCATACAACTCATCACAATACATACATACATCAATTGTATAAAGCACATTTGTACATTTGTACATTTGTTGCCCTCGTTTTTAAAAAATTATTTTATTCAGGGCTCGTACAATTCTTATCACAGTCCATTGAGTCAAGCACATATGTACACCTGTTGCCCTCATCAATCTCTAGAGTTTTAAAAAATTATTTTTTTTTCTTTTTGTATCATTTTATTAGGGGCTCATACAACTCCTATCACAATCCATACACACATCAGTTGTGTAAAGCACATTTGTACATTCATTGCCCTCATCATTCTCAAAACATTTGCTCTCCACCTAAGCCCCTGGCAACTGATCAGCTCCTCATTTTTCCCCTCCCTCCACAAACCCCCTTCCCTCATGAACCCTTGATAATTTATAAATTATTATTTTGTCATATCTTGCCCTGTACAACGTCTCTCTTCACCCACCCCTCTGTGGTCCATCCCCCAGGGAGGAGGTCACATGCAGATCTTTGTAATCGGTTCCCCCTTTCCAACCCACCATTCCTCCACTCTCCCAGCATCGCCACTCACACCACTGGCCCTGAAAGAGTTTTAAAAATTCTTATTGGTCTAAGCCTGCCCTTATCTATACATTCTCAGTACTTGCTGACTCATCGTGACCTATGGAACCATGAATAGAACTGCTCCTGTGGGTTTGTGAGAATCAACTGTTTATGGGAGTAGGAAGCTCCTTTCTCTTTCGGAGCAGCCGATGGATTTGAACTACAAAGCTTGTGGACTACAGTTCAACTCCTAAGTCGTATGCCTTAAGGGCTCCTTCAACACAATATTAGATATTAATAAAGGTTCTCTGACTAGAGCAATAAGAATCCTAATAAAAGTCTGTATATGTACAATTGAATAAAAAATACTTATGCCCTTGAATGGTTCCAAGAATTGTGTTATTGGTATAGCTTGTCTGCTGTACTGTTATGGTTCCTTGGATGAGTTGAGTCTGCAACTCATAGCCCCAGCCTCCTTACGGATTCTCTTGAAAGATCTTACCTTCCTTTGTCTTGCACCCAATCTATGCAATGACAAGGAAGCAGAAAGAGAAGCCCTGGTGGTGCAGTGGTTCAATGCCGAGCTGCTAACTGAGAGGAGGGTGCTTTGAAGCTGCCAGCTGTTCCTTGAAAGAACAGTTTAGCAATCTGCTTCTGTAAAGATGGGTAGCCTTGAGAATCCTATGGGGCAGGTCTACCCTTCCCTGTAGGGTTGCTGTGAGTCAGAATCCACCCCAGAGCAAGTGAGTAAGCCAAAACAGGAGGAGGGGGAGGGGGGAAGGAGAAGGGTAGAAGAAAGGGGAAAAAATGAAGGAAAGAAGGAAAATTACCATATATCAGGAGACTTGTCCAACTGGAAATTACAAAGCAACAAAAGGAAAGCAAAAACAAAAACCAACAAACAAGCAAACACCCCAGCCCTACGAATGATGATTTTCTCCAAGTCTATAGATGACCACCTGGGCTGGTGTCTGGGTTTCTCTTGTAGCTTGTAGTTTGTGGCTTTCACCTTCGCTTTCACAAGAAAGCTCTTATTCCTGCAGGTACTGTGTTTGCATTAGGAAGACAAAAGACAAAAGTTCAAAGGGGACCCATTAACTGAATCTGACCTGTTTACTGGGGACAAACAATAATACCTCTCATTTCACAGCACCCTCCTCGCTGCTCTGAGGACTAGAGAGACATATTCTGAATGGAGAATGGGGGGGCCAATCAGTTTGCCAAACTTTCAGTCTTCTTATACAAATGCAACACTGCCCATAAATGTGTGAAGACCATACCTACTGTTTTTGGAATGTGTTTTCATATTATTAAAAATGTCCTTGGACCTCCAGTGGTGCAATCGGTTAGCGTGATACTAATACAAAAATGTCCCACAATGCCATAAATAATTTTAACTGTTTTGTAATGCTTAGCATCAAGTATTTCCATGTTTCATGCTTATTAGTAGTGCTAGATGAACATTCTTTTTTTCCACCCCGAATTCTTTGGACCTTTTTCTTTCACCTTGATTATATTTTGTTTTGTCCGATTTTGCAAATAACAATTAGTACCTAAGCTTTAGTTACCATCTTTAAATAGTGTCTGGGGAGATGGATTTTGAAAATAACCTAAAATTAAATTAAAATATAACGTAGACAATTTAAATTGCATCCACAAGATGCAAAACATCTCACTGACCTGACAAAATCAGAATGGAGAGGAAGGAAGCGTCCCACATCCCGGTGGGATCGATGGAGTTGGTTCAATGAAGGTGGCCTGTGCGCGTCTGGTAAAGGAAGTCTGGAAGTCTGCCGCTGTTAATTTTCAGATCCCTCCTGCTCAAAAGTACATTTTCACCTGGTCTTCTCTTTGAGCAAATGTTGTCAAATGAGGGTGTGAAAGTAGTTCATCTCACAGCTCCTGTGTCAGAATGGAGCGGAGGCATGTCAAGTAGAAAGTCTGGCACCCACACCAGGCTCAAAAAAGAGGCTACAGAAAAACTTGGCTTCCAGAGGCAAGAAAGGGGCGATGCTGACATCCCACCCCAATCATGCTGGTCTTGGGCCAGGGGCTGAACGCTGCCTCCTCTTTTGTGAACCATAACGGTACATCAGCCAGACCCAGCACACAGCCAAGAGTTCTGCAGTTTGCTGAGGATATTACCTTTTACAACTGTGTTTGAGACGTAACGCTGTTTAAAACACATGCCAGGATTCCCGAGAAGTCGGGTTGTACACTCGAACTGCTTGTATATCCAACTGTATGTTTCTTTTTTCGTTGTAATGCTGCAACGTAAGGTTAATTTTTATGGGGAGTAAATTATGCCCGGCATTCTGCTATGTGCCAGACAAATGGAAGACAATAGAAACTGATGGGTGGTGAAGATAAAAGAGCAGTGTTGACCTTTTGGTAAATCATTCATCATATTGCTTCATCTGTAAGTGGTTTTCCAGTTGCAACTCCTATTTGCTAATCACGGCATTTCAGAGATTATCATCTTGTCTGCAGAGCCCTATCGTCTTGTCTTCTTTGTGTCTTTTCCCCTCTCTCTTTTTCCTTCCCCATTTCCTTTTGGTCATTGTTGCTATAGTTATTTCATTTCCTAATAGTTCTTCCAGCAGAGGGGGCTTGTGGACAGAGAGAGGCAGAGGGAATTTCTATTCAGTTTCTTTGCCTGCTGGTTTTCATTGTGATCTATTGGGTTTCTCCTAAGGAGTTGGGGTGGACTTCAAGCACCCATCCCCTCCTCCTTTGTTCCCTTTAGAATTCCATTACAAGATGGCTATCTTCCACAGTGACCGCTGGTGAGAGCATAGTGCACTGGTCCTAATGGCTTAGCAGCAGTACACATTTTCGCTCCTTCCTATGAGTTAGAATCCTCAGATGGCCGTCAGTGTGGTTTTTATTTTCTTTATCAAAGGTGCCATGGGGGG